ACAGTACGGGGGGGATATCGGGTTTGAGTTGTACTCTCTAAGAACATAGACCTATCTAGCCTATAACTTCAACATACAAATATATGTATATGTTGACAAAAACCACCCTGTATCCAGGGTTTCTACTAGGATTCAGGGCTGTCTGAGAATCAGACGAAAAGTTTCAAGGAGTCTGAGATTTCAGACGAAAATTTTACACTGGTCTTTAAAGTCAAACAAATTTTTTGCGCAAGAATTTTCGTCACTTGTAATTTCGACCTCAATTTGTTCGTTTCCTACTAAGAGCATTTTCTTACGAACTTCTTCCCAGGCTACCCAATTCCCAGACTCGGTCCTCGCCTGAGAGCGCGCTCGAAGGTTTTCTTGTCAAGCACACTTCGTTTCAGTATCACATTCTCAACCGCCTTGATTCTGCTCGAGTCATAATCGAACTGTAGAGACCTGCGCCTTTCTGGAAAATTTGCGTCTGCAAAGAAGTTTAAAACACGCCTTGAGCCTCGTCAGTCTGAACCACACAAAAGAGTCATTGCACGGCACTGAAGCGTGCGAGTCTGGGAACAGGCAGGCGTGTGAAGAGGCTGTAGGAAAACGCTCTAATTGGTTGAGGCTTGGATTCTGGCAGGAACACTCGCAGCTGGCGTGACGTGTCACGTGCAGGCAGCCCCCTCTCTTTGCCCAACAATTTTAGGGTTCCTTCCGCCCCGCCCCTAGTCCAGTCAAGCGACGAAGCAGAAAAAACAGTGTGGAAGCAAGGTAGCAGGGACTTAGCTGGAAAAACAGGGCTGCGAGGGGTGTGTGGGGGAATGTATCTCGCAGTTAGGGACTTCGCCGATTTTTTGGGCTGCGTGTGGTGTGTTGATGAATAACTCTGGTGTGGGTGACTTAACCGAAATTTTGTTGTTGCGAGGGGTGTGTGGAGGAATATCTCTTGTGTGGGGCACTTAGCCGGAAAAACTAGATATTCTAGGGGTGTGGGGGGGATGCATCTGGCAGTCAAGGATTTCTGCAAAAAAACCTCGGTTGTGGGGGGGGGGGGAGGGGGAGGGATGGGGGGACGAAGAGGAATGTCTCAGACTCTCAGACAAAAAAATACGCGCTATCTGAATTCTCAGACGAAAGTCTACACCTGGTCTGAACTTTCAGACAAAATCTTATGGCTTATCTGGACAATCAAACGAATTAATTTATCCCGTAAAAAAATCAGATGAAAGGAAAAAAACAGGTCTGATTTTCAGACCATCAGACCGGTTTCATCTGATATCTGAGACCCTACCTGTATCTCTCATTCTAGTCAATTTCGTTACTCTGAGATGGCATCACGCTAGGTTAGGTCCTCCCCGCTCAACAGCGCTTCCGCCCTAGTCCTAGACCTAGACCTAGCCGCCCGTTGCTAGCCGCCTGTAGCCGCCCATAGCCCCACGCCTGCCCGTCCCGCGCCTGCTGGCCCCGGGTTTGCCGGCCCCTCGCTAGGTCGCCCCGCGCCCGCCAGCCCCGCGCTCACCGTCCCCGCACTCGCTGGCCTCGCGCTTGTTGGCCCTGCGCTCTTGCCTCGTGCCTACTGGCCCCGTTGCCCCGGTCCTACGCTCTTGACGGCCCCAGCTCTGTCAGTCCCTTCTCCGCCGGCCGCAGCTCCGCCAGTCCCAGCCCGCCCCGGCCCTTGCTACCGCCGAGCCACGCTGAACCGCCGGCCTTGGCTGCCTCTCTGAGCCAGCGCTCCTGCTTGCAGGCTCCACCGCTCTCCACCGCACTCCACTGCTCTCCACCATTCTCCACCATTCTCTACTGCTCTCCACCACCCTCCTCCGCTTTCCTCCTCCCCCCATCAACGAAAGTCAGCTGCTGCAGCCATGGTGATGGCGGACTCTGTGCTCCGCCTGGACGCGGAGGGTCGGGCCGTTGATTTTGAGGCGTGGCTCGTCGACCTCCGCCAGGACAACTAATCCCTGGCCGTCCATGTCGACGGTAAGCTCCCCTGCCCCGTCCCGCCCGCTGCTCTCCCTCACGCCCCCACGTCTGCTGAGAGTGGGGCCTTTGCCGCTGCCGAGCTTGCTCGTGCTGTATGGGAGTCGCGCGACGCCGTTGCACAGCTCGCCATTAGTCACGCCCTCCCCCTGTCTTAGCGTCCTCGCTTTACCGCTGTAGCAAATGCAAAGGAGTACTTAGATGCAGTCATTGCGCGCTATTCCACTCCCTCCTCCGCCTCTGCCGGCCGTTTGATCCTACCCATGCTGTTCCCTGACCTTGCGTCCTTCCCCATTGTCGCTGACCTTGCCACCAACCTCCGCGCACTTGAGACTTGCTACCGCGCCGCTAGCACTGAGGCACAGCTCACTGCCTTCACGCCGCCGCTTTGTGCTAGATGACCTCACCCTTAGTGCCTTAGTCATAGCCGTGTCCGCGATAGAGACCCGCCAGCGCACTATCGCTCAGTCTAACGGTACTGCGGCGGTCCCTATCTTCAAGGGCTGTGCTGCCTCCCAGTGCACTTACTCTAACGTTTCTGCCGCTGTCGCTGAGACAGCCCCTGCTACTGAGACCGCCGCCGCGGCCTCAGCGCAGCCGTGTCAGGGTAAGGGTCGCCGCCCCAAGGGGGGGCGTGGCGGAGGGAAGGGTGGTGGGGGTGGTGGGGGTGGTGGAGGTGGGGGCGAGGACGGTGGGAGCAGCAGCAGCAGCCTCAGCAGTAGCCTCAGCAGCAGCAGCAGCAGCCGCCGCCCTAGGGACCCCCGCCGCCATGGTGGACTGGTGGCGCTGGTGATGGGCCGCGCAGCTCGGTGTCGGCTGGCGGCTCTTGTGTAGTCACCTGTCAGAACCAGCTTCAGTCCAACCCCCGCCATGGCACCGTCTGCGACCGTCCTAGTCACGCCACCGCCCGCTGCTACCGCCGCCTGGACGACCTCTTCCGTTTCCGCTTCGGCCCCACATCGGACCCCCCCGACTGGTACAGCCTGGTGCGTCGCCGTGTCCCTGTCTTTGAGCTTGACATGGATTCGATTAGGTCTGCTATGTATGTCATGTATATTGATGACTCTAGTGTGACTGGAACCTATTGCCTGCTGTTGCCTAGTGTAGGTGTGCCCACTGTGTGTAGTATAGGTTCCCTTGCTGCGTTAGGCGTAGGACCACCTGCCTTGTTTAGCCTCGGCTCCACTTTAGCTCCTCCGCCTGCGGCCGCTACAGCCGTGCTCTCGTTCACGCTAGACTCTGGTGAGTCCGCGTGCTTCTTTTGGCACAAAAGACATGCTCCCCGCCCCTCTACAGTACGCAAACGACAACGCTCCTACAACCTCATAATTGTTATAAACAATTTTGTCAAGGTCGCACAGCGATATTCTCTGAGAGTGTGTTCCTACGAGCCTCTTCCCAGGCAACCTCTTCCCAGACTGACGCGCGATCTTTAGAGCGTGTTCCCAGGACCACTTTTCGGAAACTTCCGTTTCATGTTTGCGTTCCATCGCTCTCAACCACATAAAACCAGCTGGTGTCGAAAATTTACTGTGCAGATGAGCGATTGTCTGAAACCTGCTCGTCTGAAAAGAGGTTTTAAAACACGCCCCTGAAACTCGGGAAGCCGAATCTCACTTCGCACTTCGCGAAATCGCACTGAAACATTTCGCGTCAAAATTTGCGACACTGTAGCACACGAGTCTCGGAAGAGGTTGCTTGGGAAGAGGCTTATAGGGATACGCTCTAAGTGAAATTTCCTACATCCTTGGAGCTTGCGTTAGTAGAATGCGACCAGTACCATAACCATACCATCATACCAGCTCGCACTCTGATGTCCGTGTCAGAAACTAGCTTAGCTAGGAAGCCATAGAATGGCACAAGGTTTAGCTAGGAGCTAGGAGGAGCCATGAGAATGGCGAGAGGTTTTAGGTGCTAGGAAAGTTGAGGAGAGAAAAGATGTTGGATTAGAAGAGAGGGGAGTACAAGGAGGGGTTTGTACCCCCTACAGAAAGGTTCAGTAACAACCTACCAAGCCTATATTAAATTATAACTTATATAATTTGAACACACCCCCTAGGCTTGGTAGTCACATGCCCACACACACCCACACCCCCTAACCTAGCACCCCCATTCCAGCCACAGTGACAGCGACTCTAGGGCGGTCGACCCCACGGCGCGTGAGGCGGCGACGTCGACCGCAGGGGCTGCGGCGGCGACGGCAGCAGCGGCGGCAGTGTCGACAGCGGCAGCGGCGGCGGCGTGCGGCTGCGTGGCCCCGACGCAAGCGGCGACAGCGGCGGCGGCGGCGGCTTCGACAACAGCGGCAGCGGCGGCGGCACCCGCACCTCTCGGCGACGTGGCCAGGCCCCGCGACGGTGGGACGGCCGGCGGGAGTCAGCCGTCGTCTGCGGAATGGAAGAGGGCACAAGGGAAGGAGGGGGGTGGGGGGGGGGGGCGCCACAGGCTGACATGCGGGCGGCCGGTCTAGCGGCGCCACAAGCGTCACGCGGCCGGCTGCAGCCCGACGACGCCGTCATGGAGCGGCGTCGATGCCGCAGCGGGGCGTCGACGTTGCGACGGCAACACGACGTCGCCGTTACGCCGACCGCGCGCTGTCGCGTAGACGCCGCGGCAGCGTGACGGCGCCGTCACGTCGCGACAGCATCTTGACGCGACGGCGGAGCTGCGGCACGACGGCGCGGCCACAGCAGCTGGACGCGGGCGCCATGGACGTCGACGGCGGCGCCGCGGCACGACGACGCGGCCACAGCAGCTTGACGCGGCCGCCATGGCAGCGCGAGATAGAGAGAGAAACGAGCACGCAGCGGAAACGCGAGGAGCAGGCCCACGCGGAACGAACTGCTCTGATACCATGTCAGAAACTAGCTTAGCTAGGAAGCCATAGAATGGCACAAGGTTTAGCTAGGAGCTAGGAGGAGCCATGAGAATGGCGAGAGGTTTTAGGTGCTAGGAAAGTTGAGGAGAGAAAAGATGTTGGATTAGAAGAGAGGGGAGTACAAGGAGGGGTTTGTACCCCCTACAGAAAGGTTCAGTAACAACCTACCAAGCCTATATTAAATTATAACTTATATAATTTGAACAGTCCGTCGAGTGACACTAATGACAATCTAGGTTTGCATCCTCATAAATACAGGTTTATCTCTTGGATTCCCCATGCAAGCAAACTCGTGCTAAGGTGGAACGTGTAACATGTACTGGTAATAATACGGTTACTGCCGCTGAGCACCAGTCGCTGAAGTCAAGGCAGCAGGGAGATGGCTCAGAAATCGACCGGATTAGCCCCCATTTGCTGTGGATTCATAATGTGCACTGTACCCATGGTATTCGCCACAAAATCGAACCCCTGCGGCTTGGGCCTGGCGAACGCGCGGAGATAGTCCGTCCTCTTTAAAGCGCTCCTCATTGCTCCAACCTGTTTCCGGTCGCAGCTGAGGAAATTCGGCCAGCGCTGGTACATTGCCGAATCGGTGCCCGTTACACCAAAGTTGTTATTTTCGTAGTCGATAAAAAGCAGCTCATCTATAGGCCGAGTCCACCGAATAACCTGCACCTTGTTTATCATGGGTGCTACAGGCACAGACTCGCAGTTGCTGTAAGGGAGCTGACTGTAAGGGGGCTGGGAGGATGGGGGTGGGGGATGCTTGGGTGGCGATCTGGGAGGCGGTGGTTTGGGTGACCATGATTTGGGTGGGGGTGGTGAGGGTGGGGGTGGGGTTGGCCTGGGTGGTGTTCTGGCGTCTAAGGAGAGAACAGCGAGGGTGTTTTCGGTTGGTATGCCGCTGCAGTCGCCAGGGTCAGAAGCAGAGATGCTGCTTCTACTGCTGCCAGATGACTTGAAGGATTTAATTCTAGGAAAAGAGATTTGCTGTAGCAGTGCTTTTCTTCTCCTGCTCCTGCTGCTGCTGCTGCTGCTGCTGCTGCTGCTGCTGCTGCTGCTGTTGCTGTACCTGCTGCTGCTTCGGCTTCTTCTTCTGCTGCCACCGCTGCCAGTTTGACCATAGGTGATACCTTCTAGCTGCGGGGAATCGGGACGGGCCAATGTGTGAAACGCAGTGTGGTGCAGAGATGCAGTGTGACGGGCTCCACTTGCTGGGCCTGGAGGTTTGATGATCTCGACTGCTTGCTGCTGGCCACTCCCTCCTCCTCCTCTTTCATCTTCTCGGCGTTGGTCTTGGTGTTGTTGCTGTTGCTGTTGCTGTTGGTGGTGGTGGTGGTGGGGGTGATGATGCTGACCTTCAGGTGTGCTGCTGCTGCTGCTGCTGGGGGAGGAAGGGGAGGAAGGAAACACCAGCTTGGCAGTGCCGATGCGAACCGGTGAACTCTTTCGTCGATGGCCTCCCTCGGACGATGATAAACCTGTCCTTTCCTCCCTCCCCTGCGAGTCTGACGACTCTGCCCGTGCCAATGCTGCCTTTGCGCTTTCAGCTCCCTCTGCTTCCACTATTGTGCTCGTCTGGTCCACTGCTAGTGACTCTCTTGCTCCTTCGGGGTCTCCTGGCATGGGCACACCCCCTCCTCCCTGCTGCAGCAGTGTGCCTTGCGGACTGCGATGCCCTTGGGTGCTCCCTTGAGTTGATTCAAGAGTAGTTTCTTCTTCTCCTGGTGTGCGCGTATCCCCTCTCTGCTGTGGCATTGTGTCTTTTGCGGTGGGACGGTCTTGAGTGCTCAGGTGAGCTTGGTTACTGAGGTGAGGACCGGTGGTGGTGGTGGTGAGGTGGGCCAGATGCTGGGTTTGGGAGTGGAAAGTGGAGCGGTGGGGGGATATGAGAGTAGTGGTTGCAAGAGAGGAGATGAATACAGTGGAGTGGGAAGGAGGAGGGGAAGGATGAGGGGGAGGGGGAGGCGGAGGGGGAGGATGGGGAGAACGCACACGGGGAGGAGGGGGAGGGGGAGGAACGGCAGGTGTATGGATGGGATGGGTAAAGTTCCGATTGTGAGGCGTGGCAGGGGCGGCAGCAGCAGCAGGGTTGAAAGACCAGATGAAAGAGATGGGGCGGGGGGAAGGAGGAGGAGGAGGAGGCGGAGCAGAACGGGGGGGGGGCGAGGGAGAGAGAGAGAGCACTGAGTGCCGTTGATGGCAGTCTGCTGGCAGACGTTGGACAGCCAGGGGAAGGCCTGGAGGGTGGGAAAGAATAATGCAGGGAGGGGAGGGGAGGAAGGAAGGACGATTCCAGGGGGGAAGGGAGAAGGGGCGAGGGGGCTTGTGGTTAGCAGGGGGGTGCGGAAGGAGGTGTATCAGGAGGAGGAGGCTTCGCAATCGGGCAGACGGAGAGGTTAACAAGGGGTCAGGGCGGCAATAGAAAGGTCAGGGAGAGTGGAGGTGAGAGTGCAGCGTTGAGTGAACGCGAGAGTGCTGAGGTACAGAGTATGCTGGCAGATGATTCATAAGAGATGACTTTTTAGTAGACTCAAAAGTCGCCTGAGATACCGAGCATGTTGGAAGAGGAAACATAGGAGGTTGACCGTTGAGCATTCTCGAAGCCCGCACACACCTCACCATGGGATATTCACACAGGGACCTCGGATAGGGGAAGAATAGGGCGGCTGAAAGGGTGGGACAGGGCGAATGGGACAGGGCGAATGGGACAGGGTGACAGCCAGCAACAGCTGCAGGTGGCGCCTCAACAAAATGCAGCACTCACAGAGGTGAAGGCGGGCGTGCGGTAGTAGTAGGTGCGGCGCATCCACTCCCGGTACCGCCCGATGGCTGCTGGCAAGCAGGGGCGCTGCCACAGCTGAAGCAGCGCCCGATTGACTTGCAGTAAGAACAGCTGCAGGTGGCACAACAGGTGGCACTCACAGAGGTGAAGGAAGGAGTGCGGTAGTAGGTGCGCCGCATCCACTCCCAGTACCGCCCGATGACACTGCCGCAGTTGAACTTGCTCGGCTGTGTGCAAGAGAGGGTCACGGGCGTGCTGCTGCTACCCCGCATAATGAGCCAGCGAATGTCGTTCCTGAAGGGAAAGGGAGGTGGGAGGAAGGGGAGGAGGGGGGGGTGGTGCGGGGGGCGGGGGGTTGTCAGGGGAGTGAAGTCAATAGAGATGGTTGAAGAGCTGTGAGCAGGAGAGGGTCGCGGGAGTGGTGCTGGCGCCCCAAACTGTCGTTCCTGCGGGGATGGAGGGGAAGGGAGAAAGGGGGGAAGGGGGGGGGGTTACAAATGCAGGGCCAGGGCTGTGTGCAGGAGTGTCTAAAGTGTGTAGAGTGTGTGCAGGAGTGTGTAGGAGTGTGTTGCGGGGGCATTATTGGTCGAGTTAAAAACCACCCCTCTCGTTGCCTCGCCTCCCCCTACTCCTCACGTCTTCTTACTCCTCCCCCACCCCCTCCATCCCCCCTATGCCTCATCCCTTTCCCCTCCCTCACCTCGTCTCACCCCTATATTTGAGGCGCCTCAAAAATAGACTCACCTCGTCTCACCCCTATATTTGAGGCGCCTCAAAAATAGACTCACCTCGTCTCACCCCTTTCCCCTCCCTCCCCTCTTCCCGTTCCTCACGTCTTGCCCTTCGCCCCCCCTCCCCCTCCCTCACCTCTTCCCATTCTCCACCACCACACCGCGGGGAGTGCGCACGCATGCTCCGCCCCTCACGCGCACGCCCATCGCATGCTCCCCCAGCCAGTAGCAGCTGTCCGCGCCAAACACGTAGTTGCACTGCGCCTGGTTGCCTGCAGGAGTGGGGTTTGGTGTTGAGCAGGGTATACAAACCAAGTGAGAGGAGCCTCCTAGGGAATGCTCTCCCCTCCCCCAGCCAGTAGCAGCTGTTCGCGCCCGACACGTAGTTGCAGTGCGCCCAGTTGTCTGCAAAGCGTGGATGGTTGGGAATACAGGGGTGTTGGACGGTTGACGAGCTTTTATGCTCTCCCCTCCCCCACAACCAGCAGCTGTCCGACTCAAACACGTAGTTGCGCTGCGCCCGGTTGCCTGCAGGTAGAGTGGCCAATTGGGGGCCCAGGGGTGTTGGAGGGTAGGAGAAGGAAGACACACGCTCTCATGTGCTCTCCCCTCCCCCACAACCAGTCCCAACTGTCCGACCCAAACACGTAGTTGCACTCCACGCAGTTGCCTGAGGGTGCATGTTGGGGGCAGGCAGTGGTGTGGGGTTTCAAGTACGGCACAACAGCCAGGCCAGCAGGTAGAGGGCGTGACTGGGGGCAGGTTTTGGGACACACGGCAGCAAGGGATCATTCTGAGAGAAAGCTGTTTCAAGACACACGGCAAGGGATCAGTCTAAGTAAAAGCTCCTAGGATGCTCTTCTCTTCCTCCCCCACCCACTAGCAGGTGTCTGGCAAACAGCCAATTTTTGCCTCGAGCACATGGGAAGCACACGGGGAAGCACATGTGCTCCTGATTTTTCTCTGTGCAAGCACATGTTTACCACTGTGGAGCTACCTCTGCATACCTCTGCATACCTCTGCATATCTCTGCATGCACGTAGAGACCTCCGTGCATACCGGGATTGAGCCAGCCAGTCGCAAAGTGAATGCCGGTGGAGCTGCCACTGTTCACACTGGCCGCATATGCATACGCCCTTCCTGCTGCTGCTGCTCCTGTTGTTGGTGTTGCTGCTGCTGCTGCTGCTGCTTCTGTTGCTCCTGCTGTTGTTGTTGCTGCTGCTGTTGTTGCTGCTGCTGCTGTTGTTGCTGCTGCTACTGTTGCTGCTGTTGCTGCTGTTGTTGCTGTTGCACTTGTTGCTGTTGCTGCTGCGGCTGCTGCATTTGCTGCTGCTGCGGCTGCTGCCGCTGCTGCGGCTGCTGCTTTTGCTGCCGCCTCTGCTGCTGCCGCTGCCGCTGCTGCTGCTTTTGCCGCTGCTTCTGCTGCTGATGCTGCCGCTGATGCTGCTGCTGATGCTTCCGATGCTGCTGCCACAGCAGCTGTTGTGAATCCTGCTGTTGCTGCTGGTGATTCTGCGACTCCTTTCCCCAGTCTTCCTCCCTCCTTTGCTGCTGCTCCTGCTCCTTCTGCTCCTGCTCCCTCTCCTCCTGCCCCCTCTGCTCCTGCGGCCCCTGCCTCTGCAGCCGTAGTAACAGAAGGGAAAGGCTGGGGAACGTTGAAGTACACACTCACGCCACTGCTGCCAGCATTACCAGCACTGCTGATACCACCACCGGAACCCCCAAGCCTCTCAGGACCCACATCCGATGAAAGAGCCGCAGGTGTAGAGGGTGTGGCTGTAGCAGGTGCGGCTGTAGCAGGTGCGGCTGTAGCGAGCTCGCTCACAACATGAGGTGTAGGATGATGGTGGGCATGCGCATGGTATCGATTATCGTCACTCGCATGGTGGCTGGGACGATGGAGGGAAAAGTATGGCGCATCATCACTGTTACTAAGCAAACGACTAGACAAATCCCCATCCTTCTCCTCCTCCTCCTCCTCCCTATCATCAACAGCAGCGGCAGTAGCAATATCAGCAGCAATAGCAGCGTCCCCAGCATCAGTAGCAGAGGCCTCAGATGCACTGGTAGAAGCAGCAGCAGCAGCAGTAGCAGTAGCGGCAGCAGGAGAAGCGGAGATAGCAGCATTCCCGGGCACACCTCCCCTTCTCTGTATGACATTGTTGGCAATGGTAGTCAGCATGCAGTCGCCCTGGCTGTACCCACCCGCACCGCACCGAACCGCAGCCGAGCCAAAGGAGTGGATGAGGTTGTTGGTAACACTCACTCCGACGGCCCCTGAGTCGAGGATTATAGGTGTGTCAACGCCTGTGGGGGGAGGGGGAGAGGAGGAGAGCGACAGGAGTTGGGAGCCAAGAGGGGGGGAGAGAAAGGGGGGCAGAGAGAGGGGGGCAGAGAGAGGGGGGCAGAGCCAAAGGAGTGGATGAGGTTGGTTGTGACACTCACTCCTACGGCCCCTGAGTCGAGACTAATAGGCGTGTCAACGCCTGTGGGGGAGGGGGAGAGGGGGAGAGGAGGAGAGGAGGAGAGAGAAAGGAGTTGGGGGAGAGAGGAGGGCAGAGGCAAAGGAGTGGATGAGGTTATTGGTGGCACGCACTCCAACTGCCCCTGAGTCGAGAATTATAGGCGTGTCAACGGCTGTGGTGGAGGAGGAGAGAGAGGCGTGTCAACGGCTGTGGTGGAGGAGGAGAGAGATAAAAGTTGGGGGCAGAGAGGTGGGTGGCAGAGAAGGGGGGTTGGCATGGCAGAGAGAGGGGAGAGAGAGGAGGGGGGGAGAAGGGAGAGGGGGCACGGGGGGGCTGAGTCACAAGAGTGGATGATTTGCTGAGAAGTGTGGGGTGTGAACGCCAGTACTGGGGGAAGGAGAAGGAGAGAAAGGGGGAAGAGGGGTGCTGCTGTGAAGGGATGGGTTGGCGGGGCGGGTGGTGTAAACCAGTGCCTGCCAACCACAGCACTCACCCTCCCCACGCACCCTCCCCACTCACCCTCCCCACTCACCCTCCCCACTCATCCCCCCCACTCATCCTCCCCACTCATCCCCCCCACTCATCCTCCCCACTCACCATACACCTCGTTATTGGAGATGCTAATATCAGAGCGCATGAGGGTGGGGCCATGCCCAGAGAGTGCCACGTGGATAGCCCCTGCTGACGTGTCAATGTCCAGGGATGTGATCACCATGCTGTCGATGCGTGCTGCCATCACCCGCAACAGGTCTATCCGCCCATACACTTGGCCCTGGAGGTTTGGGAGGGAAGGAGGGGTAGAGGAGGGGGGGCGGGGGGAAGGGGGAGTTTGGGTGTTGTTTGCCCACTGGTCACCCGCAGCAGGTTTATCCGTCCGTACACTTAGCCCTGGCCGCAAAAAGACGGGTTGGGGGCAGGGGGAGAGGGGGGGAGGGGAGGGGGGAACGGGATGGGGACGAGGCTGTTTGCCTAGAGCTGTCCACTCGTCACCCGCAGCAGGTCTATCCGTCCGTATAAACTTGGCCCTAGTGGCAGAAATGCAGGTTGGAGGCAGGGGTGGGGGGGCTATTTTCCTAGAGCTGTCAACTGGCCACCTGTCTATCCGCCCGTACACTTGGCCCAGGCTGAAAAACGGGCGGGTTGGGGGCAAGGGGGAGAGGAGTGAAGGGGGGAGGCGGTGGGTGGAGCGAGGTAGGGAGGGAGGGAGAGGTTGGGTGGGGGTTTGTTTGCCTAGAGCTGTCTGCATAAATGTTAACACATGTCTACTGGTCACCCACAGCAGGTTTACGTGTCCATGCACATGGCCCTCGGCGAAAGAGGGCGAGTTGAGGGGAAGGGGGGGTTGTCCTTCTTGGCCTAGAGCTCTCTGCGGCTGCGTAACAGCAAATACTTATTTCCCTCCCCACCTTGCCTGTTTACCTGCACACCGTATGACCTGCTTACCTTGGCTACGTGCGTCTTGTGAGGCGCCTTATCTAAAATCTAGGTGACTTTTGAAACGACTCAAAAGTCACCTCGTTACCTTGGCTACGTGCATCTTGTGAGGCGCCTTTCTCAAACCTCCCCCCTGACCCCCCTCCCCACTCCCCATTCCTTCCCCTCCCTTCTCGCCTTGCCTATCTGCACACCATAGGATTTCCTTACGCGGGCTAGGTGCAAGTCGTGAGGCGCCTAAAAGCCAAATCCCCTCTCCCATTCTCCCCCTTCCCCTCCCCCCCTGGCCCTTCCTGTCTCCCCCCCTTCTCACCCTGCCTATCTGCACGCCGTACGATCTGCTGATTTTGAGGCGCCTCACAAAAGGATCCCGTTTCTCTCCCCCCAGGCCCCCGCCCCTCTCCCAACCACATCCCCCCTTCCCCCTTCTCACCTTGCCCATCTGCACACCGTACCGTACGAGCCTATTTCTCACCTTGACGATCTCAAAACTGGACTTCTCACTCACCTTGCCTATCTGGACACCGTACGATCTGCTGACGTGGATAGCGGGGCAGCTGTCCCACTCGTTGACCACCACGGGCACGCTCCGGCACGGGGGTGACGTGTCGTCCATGCGGAGCACGAAGCTCACGTCGTATACAAGCACGTCGTGCGCGCCCACTATCGACAGCACCGGCTGGTCCGTTCTTATAACGAGGCGGATCGTGAAACCGCCCCACCTCCCCCCTCCTGCTGCTGCTGTTGCTGCTGTTTCCGACGCTTCTGCTGCTGCTCCTGCTGCTGCTGCTGCTGCTGCTGCTGATACTCCCCCGATTTCAGCTGCTCCTGCTTCCACCCCTGCCCATGTTGCTTCACCTGCTGCTGTTGCTCCTGCTGCTGTTGTTGGCCCTGCTCTTCCTAACCCCTCCCCATCTGCCCCTGCTGCACTCAATACTCCTGCTGCTTCTGCATCTTCTATACCCGTTCCTCCTGAACTTTCCCCCTCTGCCATTCCTGCTGCTGCTGCTGCTGCTGCTGCACTTGCCGCCCTACCCATCCCCCACATCCCCACAAACCCCGCCCACGCCCCGTCTCCCCCCGTGCTCCCCCCTTCCCCCCGCTTGGCCGATCGGAGTATAGTGCAGGAGTAGGAGGCATTGAATACAAGGCCGAAAGGGAGAGAGAGGGAGGCGTTTAGGATAAGGAAAACGGTGGTGGATGGAGGGTACCTGAGGCGCTTAGAGATCTCCCAGGGCCTGTTTATAAAGAGGATGGGGGCGGATTGCCAAGGGGTGCAGGCGGAAGGGGGGCCAGTCGAAGGGGGGGGGGAAGAGGGAGGGGAACGGGGAGGGGGAAGGAGAGATGGGGGGGGGGACTTGCGAGGAGGGGGAGGGGTGGATTTGGGGGGAGGAGGAGGGGTGGGGAAGGGAGTAGGGAAGGGAGAAGGGGAGGGAGCGGGGGAGGGACCAAAGGCGGGGGCGGGAGAAGGGGCAGGAGAGGGGGCGTAGGAGGGGGCGGGGGAATCCGCTGGGGACATAGCAGGAGGGTCGGCGGGCAAAGGAGCGGGTGGAGGGGAAGGGGAACGGGGGGAAGGGGTGAACGGGGAAGAAGGGGGAAGGGGAGCAGGGGTGGGTGGGGGAGTAGGGGGGCGGGGAGGGGGGCGAGGAGGGGGATTCGAAGGTGGGGAAGGGGGAGGGGGATTAGGAGGTGGATGCGGGGCGGGGGGGCTAGGAGGGGGGCGGGGAGGAGGGGGGCGAGGGGCAGGGGGGCGGGGGGGAGGGGGTCGGGGAGGAGGAGGACGAGCGGGAGGCGGGGGGATGAGGCCAGGCAGGGGGGCGGGGGCGGAGGCGGGAGAGAGGGGGGAGGGTGCAGGGGCGGAGGAGGGCGCCAGCAGCAACTCGGTTACGGCAGCCTGAAAGCCTCCCCACAGGTTAGCAGCATTAGCGGCACTAGCAGCACTGCTAGCCTGGCGGCTCGCTTGGTCACTCTGCAGGAGGGAGCCAGCAGCTACCAGAGGGTCAGTGGATTCAGCTCGGAACCTCTGATCTGCGGATTCTGTCTGGCTGCCTTGCCCCTCTCCTGCTAGCTGCTGCCCGCCAGACGGCGCGATTTGCTCCAACCACCCGGTTCGAGCCCCGTCCCCGTCCCCCTGCCCCTCCCCGGCTGCGTCCCCTGCACCTTGCACGTGCAGGTGGGTATGGGCGGCGGCTGCTTTCTCTGCACCTTGCGGGAGCTGGTGGGAATGGGCGGGGCCTGCTTTCTCTGCACCCTGCACGTGCGCGTGGGTATGGGCGGCGGCGGCTGTCTCTGCAGCCTGTCTCGCCGCGTCTTTCCTCTCCTCGGCGCGGATCACCTGCAGAAAGTGGTCCGTTCCTTCCGCGCCTTCCCCCCCCCACTGTGTTCCGCCCATCCGCGAAACTCTGCTGCTCAAGTGAATGCGCTGGGGGAAGGAGGAGGAGGAGGAGGAGGAGGAGGAAGTAGCAGCAGCAGCAGCAGCAGCAGCAGCAGCAGCAGGAGGAGGAGGAGGAGGAGGACCCTCTCCCGCACCCACCGCCGCACCCTCCCCGCTGCGTGCGCTCGCCTCTCCTCCTCCCCGTCCACTCCCCCAGGGAGCGGCTTCGATCTGAGGCGCCAGTGTTCCATCCGCATCCCTTTCCGCGAGCCTCTTCTCCCCATCCGCTTGCCTTTCCCCGTCCCGCTCCTCCTCCCGTCTCCCCCCCTCCTCTTGCTTTTCCTCCCCTGCCTCCTCCTCATCCTCCTCCGTTCGTTGCCACGTGATGTGCCACTGCTGCCGGTGCAGCAGCGGCAGCGGCGACGCTGCATCTTGCTCCTCCTGCGCCCACTCACTCGCTACCCCTGAGTCCAAATACCTCCTCTCCTGCTGCTCCTGCTCCGCCTGCTGCTGCTGCCGCTCCTGCTGCTTCTCCTGCTGCTGCTGCGGTTTCCCAGCAGCACCAGCACCAGCACCAGCAGCAGTCTCTCTCCCGCCTGTTTCCCGCGGCATGACGCACGGCGGCAGCAGCAGCAGCAGCGCCACCGCGCCGAACGCTACTAGCGGGAACCGCAACCGCCGCGGCCCTCGGGCGGGGCTCGTCACAGTAGCGCGCCGAACCACGTTCGCCGTCGCTGCGGCTGAGGCCATGGGGTTGCTCGCCCGCCACGGGAGCATGATAGGGCCGAAATCACGGTGCTTTTGAGTCGACTCAAAAGCTGGACCGCGGGAGCATTTTAGTGGCGAAAGCACGGTGCGCCTGCGCGTGTATTGTGTACGTGGCAGGTATCGGCCTCACCCTGTAGAGGTGCTCTTAGAGTGTGTGATTATAGAAAGATGTTGGGCTAATGGATGTGACCTTGACCTAACTAGACAAGACCTCCGCCCGAGTCTCGAGTCAGCGACGCTTCTACGGATAAAGTGACAACCAGGTGACTCCTTTTATGAAAGGACGACCCAAAATCAGACTCGATATGGGCGTTTGCGCTCTACGAGCAGGGACCCTTGAAGCAGGCCTCATTGACTCGGGAAGTGGGTTTGACGCAGTTTCCCGCGTAACCGGGGGGGCCGCGTTTCAAGTGACTGTTTGCTCGCGACGCAAGGATAATACGAGAAGAAATGCCGCTATGCATTCCCGCAGAACAAAAGGGAGTCAAATCGAAGCCCGTGCCTCCTGCGTGCCGCCTGTCGCGCGGACCTGTCTGCCTGAAGTAAGTGAGGAGCAAAAACCACTGAGGAGTGAGGGAGAGAGGAGGCTGGAGATGAGATGAGACAGCGCATTCCTATGTTTGACCGACAAACGAAGTTCGCCCAAGAACGTAGCTTTCACATGCAGTAAGCCTAATTACCCGAATATGAACAGACTGGAGGGCTGCTTTCCACAGATATAAAAATGACTCGATGGCGGTCTCGAAGTTAACGTACATTCGGGCTGTACAATGCACCTGAACATATGTGGAGCGTCGGAGAACTGGAACTGCGTCGGTTCGGGATGGACAGTATCTGCACCTGTAAAATTATGAACACATGCTATACAGACATAAGTCACAGGAAAAAAGGAAAGCTACACTCTTTGGCAAACTTCGTTTGTCGGTCAAACATAGGAACGCGCTCTGAGACCGGACTGCCCCACACAGCGGGTCATATAGAACAGGTGGGTGAAATGCAGTGGGTTGAGATGGTGGTGGTGGTCCTTTCTGAATGTGCACCTGCCATACAGACTTCGAGGGTGCACTTGGCCAAGTTTGTCGGTGGTGTGGTTTAGTGTGACTTGGCGTGGTTTAATGTGGTGGTGCCAAGTCGTGAGGGATGAGAGGAGAGGGGACAATTGAGGAGCGAGAAGATACTAAAACTGGATTGGATGGGGACAGATAAGAGGGACAGCCCGCCATCTCCCATGAACTGTAGTGTGCACTGTACAGTGCTGTACAGTACTGTGATGGTCTGTCTGTACAGTCCAGCATGAATCTGTCCGTCCCATCCCGTTAGTTCTGGATTCTACGTGGAATGTGTTGGTTGGTTGTTATGTATTGGTCCGACTGGAGTTGTCAGTCTGTCAGTCCTTGTCTTCCCAACCAACTCGGTGTACACAGCAGCACACACGTAACTGGTTGTTGGAAAAGCTACACCAACTGGCGGCCTTTCTGGTTCGGATCGGACCCAGAAAGGCTTGTTGGGACCTAGGTTTGTGTCATGTCAGTGAGCGGTGCGTTTTGGTTATGGCGCTTTCAGAACGTTACAGACAATTTATACTTCGGTTCTGTGACATGCCCTAGGATGTCGTACCAAAGAAATAGAATTATGTATGGATTGGTGCAGTAGCTAGCCATAATTTGCGAAGGATATGGAGCACAACTTGCCTTTAGCGTATTAGACCTTTGCCAAGTGCAAAATTCAAGTGTGTGTCTATATGCGTACTTTATACATACTAAAAAAAGGACAATATATGTGTCCTAGCTTTATGCTTGCTGTCTAACAAGCTCCTCCTATTCCTTGCACCCCTTGACTCTTCCAACTCATTAGCATCACATCCTTCTTGGCACATGTTGCCCTCTCCCAATGATGCTGCAGCTGGAGCCAGATGGTTTGACGATGGGGTGCCATCAGCTTCTGAGAATTCCTCAGTGGGGAACAGATAACTCCAGGACTGAACAGTTTTGAGCTGGCTGAAGTGCAGCAAAGTAGAACCTCTCAGTGTCTCCAGTGCTGGCAGCTGCTCCGCTCAATACCACTACGTCACACAGCAGCTGTATGTCTCGCAGCTGCATCTTCCTCGGCCAAACAAATCGGACACCGGCAATAAGCCGTCGCACTAACCGGGGAGTAAAAACCACTAGAGCCTTCACGTAACTTGAACCCCTCCCCATCCATCCCTACACCCCTCCCCTCCTTCGCATAGCCCCAGCTCCCCCCTCTGCCTTCCCACACCCGCCGCGTCTTCTCACCCAGCAAGTAATAAGTCCCTCCAGGGCGAAGCACGGCGGAGGGTTCCAGCGGGCTCTGCGCGCGCGAGGGCGAGGAGCAGCAGAGGCGATGGCCTGGGAAATCCGCCAGCACGTCGGCTGCTAGGAGCGGGGTGACTAGGGGCGGCATTGCCTCCTTGGACAACTGCGACAACTGCGTCAGGGGGCTCTGCTCGCCGCCCAGGCTCCGGCTGTGGTCGCTCGGGCTGCGGTTCTGGTCGCTGCTGGCGGGCGGGTTTCCTCTGCACCATGATTCGGCGGCATTTTCTGCTCCGCCGGTGCTGTTACAACTACTGCTGTCGCCACTGTCGCCGCTGTCGCAAGAGGAGCTGTCACGGGGCGAACTTGACTCCGCATCATCCGCATCATCCGAGGAAGACTCGAACGAGTTGGAAGCGGCGTCGGGACGCACTCCTGGAAGTGGCAGTGACGGCATGGAGTAGATTCGCATCGTCCCGTCGTCCAGGAACACCATAATGGCTGGCTCATCGTCGCACTCCACGTCTGCCGCCGCCTCCGCCGCCTCCGCCGCCGCTTCCGCAACTGGCCCCGCGAATTTAACCGCATCTGCCGCTTCCGCCGCTGGTTCAAACGCGGAAATGCCGCAGTTTCCCGACGTTCTCGTGGAATTGCGGCTCGGCGAGCTGCTGCTGCAGTTGCTGCCGGCATAGCGCGGTCTCAGTCGCCCCACAACTCTTACGGCGGCGGCGGCGGCGCGTGCGGCGACCGCACGTAGGCCGCCGCTCCCGCTATCGCTGCTGCTGCTGCTGCTGCCAGTGCCAGTGTTGCCGCAGCGACTGCTGCTGCAGTGGCTGCTGCTGCGACTGCTAGCGCTGGTTGTAGCGCTGGTTGTAGCGCCGAAATCGGCGCCGCCGATACTGATGCAGGCGGACATTGGTGAGTTGAATTGGAGAGGCATGCGAGACTCGCGGCGCAGGGACCCAGCGGACGACAGCGTTGGGGGTGTCGTCGCAAGCATGGCAACGATCGCGAAAAGGGCGCCAATGCTGTGCGACAGGAGTTTCTACGGCGGCTAGCTAGTCGCGTTAGAGCCAAATTTAGTCCAGCGCGTTGCCCCAAACTAACATTCGAAACTAGAAGGTGCGATATGAGGGACGCTTTCAAAGCGACGTATCGCAGCCAGCAATCAGCTCTGCTTCCTGCGATCAGAGCTAGTTAACGTTAAATGACAGCCACACAAGGACAAGGGTGCGCTTTAGTTGGGGGAATGCCGTTGTAGCATTACTGTACTGTACTTGGAAACAACCTCCTCCGGAGCCGCGGATCGCAGGTCCTGTCTGAGAGAGTCGCGTCGATTTCATCGGGTGGTTAGAGTAGTTAGGTTGTGTGCTTGGTGTGCTAGCTGCATTTACAAGCATACGGATTTTGCCTTGTACCGTTCCTCTCTTGGCTTGTTGTCTCCTCCTGCGACCTCGGTTGCTCCAACCAAACCAACGCGTTTCCCTCCCCCCGACTCACTCTCCCCCGATCCCCTTCCTCCTCCCCGTCCCCCCCGCCTCCCTCCCCACCCCCAGATGCATAGCAGCACTGTTGCTGATTTCAAGCCTCCAGCGTTTGCACTGCGGCTTTCGAGCCTCCAGCGCCTACTTTTGGTTTTAGGCCACCCTTAGAGATTCGGGTTCATCTGAGCCAAATCCGTAATTTTCCGAATTTTCATAAGCCCCACTCATAGACGCGTGGGGACAGCTGATTTTTTCGGCCTATACTCGCTGGAGGAAGAAGCTATTTCGCTAAGGTAGACACTCTAGTACAGATGTAGACAGGTGGGTGGAACATCTGGGGAGGGTGTAGCCAAGGCAGGCGAGTCTGCGCCTATCACTTAAAATATGAAGGGGTCATCCAGGCTCGACCCTTAATCTCAAGGGCCACAAAACATCCAGCTCTTAATGTTCCGGACTGTCCTTAAAAATGCATATTAAACGACCCAAATTCAGGGCAGTAGCCCTTGAAACATAGGCCCTCGACTCGGCTTGCAGTTGTGGATAGCCGAGCCGCACATTGCGGGGCGTGGGAATCTGGAATTTGGTTTGGGCATGTGGGAAGGAAAGCCAGATGCGGTGTGGTGCATCACGTGAATTCAAGCATGCCAATGGGGGCCCTGGCGTCGATGAGTGCTGGATACCTACCAACAATCACTTTGAATGATGTGGGTAAACACTCTTAATGTATCAGATGCACTAGGCTGTCATGTCACAAGGCGAATCTCTTGTTTGTAAGTATATTACGATTGAGTTGCACAATGTGATCGCAGTTCGTGCCCCTTTTGGACTCTCTCGAAACCACTCAAATCAGGGATAGAATATTACCAGTGAAGGTCTCCTCTAAGTGACGGCACCAATTGATGACTAGAGTCTGTGTGTTAGGTCTGGGACTCAGTGGAGTCTGGGTTGAGGTGTTAGGGGCACACAGGGGTAGCTTGGGTGCAGAACGGGTTTCCCGAGGTACAGGATATCAGTTGGGAGGGGCTGAAAAGGCCAAGAACAACGGAGCTCAAAAGTACACGACAGTATCTGGGCTAAGTTTTGGCCAAACATAGGGCTGTTGGGAGTTCCAAAACACCCCTGTCTAACCTCGTGCCTAAAATCAATGCGAGTCCCCACGAAACTCGACACGTGCCACGTGCAGTGAATGGCTGGGATTGCTGTTGGGAGTTTCGACCAGGGCACGTGTTAACTGGGTAATTATCCTGACTTGACTGTAAATCCAAGGTTATTTCTTGACCGGCCCGGTGTTTCACAGGGCTTTTTCAATCCCAGCCCTGACGAACTCGGGGAGATTTTCCTACTCACCCGTAGAGTCCAGTAGGATTTTGGGAGGACCTGGACCGGACACCAGGGTAGCCTCCAGGAGGTATGGGAATATCTCAAGGTCCCCAGCCCTCCCTTTCCCCCTAAGCCCCACCCGTCCCTTTCCCAAACTTGGGGAAAGTTGTATAACGGCAGGGATCGAATAGCTTAAACTGGAATATTGCCAAGGTCCCTATACGTTTCTGTGTGTTGCTGTCGTTTTTTATACGATTCAGTGCGGTAAGAATTCAAACGAATGTTTCTTGGGAAAGAGCCACGCCCTAAGATGCCAAGGAGCTAGAACTTCACTTGTATTTCCGCATGCACTATCAGATCAATGGTCACTTAGCAGCAGGTTTTAAAATGAGCAGCCACGAACAGTTGTTCACGCCACTCAAAATCAGCCCAGCCCTTCCTCCCACCCCCCTTCTCCCCCCCGCCCCTCTTGGCCCAAATTTAGCTCCTTCACAGGTGCGTCTGTGGTGGCGGATTTCCCAACCCGAAGCTCTCCCAATCGCAACCCCAGTGTCTCGTCCCACGCTCTATCAGGCCTTTTCGAACGCGGACCCTGAAGAATCAGGGTAATTTCTTGAAGAAATCGGATTTTACAAGGTGATTTCTCAAGGGGCTCGGATCGTCCGAGGTGGGAAAAATCCTAGCGAGAGCCCTGGTTTCGACAACCCCTTGTGTGTTTCGATACACATGTTCTTGGATTCAAACTCTCGAAGTTTTTGCGCGGTCCGTGCATGTATCCTCTGGCCAAAACGCCGGGCAAAATGTGCTTGTACACTTCTAGGGCGGCAACGGCCGCAGTTTTACAAATAAATAGGGCTGGAGTGGCGCGTCTGTTCTGCCAAATTGTCGGGTAGCCTGCCCCATCGCTAGGGCTGCAAGACCTTCGCAACTGAAACGGAAGTCTGTCTCGAAACTGATGAGCTGTCGCCAATCGATAGTCAAACTCTTCGGCTTGAGATGACGTGTCGTAAGATTAACCAACCTAAACCTCCTGAACATTTCACATTAGAACATTCGTTCTTTACGTGGCGTAATGTCAAGACAATGGCTGGCGACAAAACTGTTAGTGTTTTCGTTAGTCTCAAACAATCGCTAATCTGATCCTTTCGACGCCTCTCATTGGATGATTCCGAATCTCAATGATATCTTGAGCAGTAGAGCCTTGGGGTGCGTTTCATGCTACACAGTGAATGTGCTCTTACACTGCGTGAAAAGAGCAGGGCATATACAGCATTGTGTTTTTATCCAGATTGTGCGAGTAGCTCGGATGTCTGTAAGAGGGATCATGTGTAATCTCCAGAAACGAGTAGAGTAATGCAATACAGCGGGTATGCTCTATGCTCCAAATCCGCGACTCGCAAATATGGACTACGACGAATAGGAGCGGTTCACAACGGGCAAAATGGATAATCGAGTAGCACGAGTGGTTTTAGGTGGGGTGGCGTAGGCCGTTTTACTCGTTTTGTTCACGATGGGTGCCTTGGCGTATTGGCCAATGGGCCAGGTTACTAGCGATTTCGCCGCGTGTCATGTCTGGGCTCATGTGGCTTCTTAAAAAACGCTCAGCGAATTTGTCGTCTGGTCAGAATTATCGCGGAAAATAGAAATAACACCTCCTTCTTGACCTGCCCGCAAGCAACGCAGACTCAAAATGCGCAAATCAAATAATTTGGAAAACCCTTTTCGTGGTCTCACGAAAAGGGCTTAACGGAACGAAATTTTGATGACTGAATTGAGCGGTTTCGTTAAAACCACAGGCTAAAATAGCACACCTTGGGCGCTCTTGAAAACTGTGATTTTTTGCGGTCAGAATAAACGGCCCGTTGTGGAACACTAATCTCCCCTCTACGCGAAAAGAAACGTGTTGCGACAATGTGAAACACTGCAAGTGGACCTCGGCACTCCTTGCGAGGGCACAATTTTGTTTGAACAGGGTGCGACGAACCCTAGAGTCGCACGAGTCAACTGAAACTGTCCTCCATGCGACCACACCCCCACACCTCGTCGTTCAAGAGCTCCATGTGTGTGCAACCGGTTTTCAGACGTAGATTATTCCCATACCTAGAGTATCTTAGACAGCCACACTTGACACCAGGGAGGTATTTAAAAATGTACAGCAGACGCAACGAGATAGTAACTGCCCAAGGCACTGCCATAAAGTTTTTGCTGCGGAAAAAATCGATCAGAGGTGTAGTGGTGGCGTCTTGAGCTTTGGAAACGAGTTTTGATTGTCGGATATGACGAGTATTCCATCGTCGTGGCACGGGATAAATACCTTAGATCCCGCCATTAGCCGCACGTGATCAAGCGCGACATCCCCTAGTCCCGATAGTTCAAATTATATAAGTTATATATATAATTGATAGGCTTGATAGTTGTTACTGAACCTTGCTGTAGAGGGTACAATCCCCTCCTTGTACCCCTCTCTCTTTCTAATCGTCCCTCTTTTCTCTCGACACTTTCCTCCCCTAACTAAACCTCTGGCCGCCATTTCATGGCGGCCTTTCTTCCTAGTTAAGCTAGCATTCTGACACCGATCTGCTAAAAAAACCACAATGTTCCGTTTGCTTCATATGGTACGTTGCCAAGTCCTCCGCGTCTAGTCCCTCTCGTCACTTCCCTCACCTTTGGTCCCTCGCATCTAGTCCCTTGTGCCTAGTCCTGTATGCCTATTACGTCGCGTCTAGTCCGCCACGCCTCGTCCTCCAATCCTCATCCGTCGCGCGAGGAACCCCACGGCGCCACGTCCATTGTATAGCCCTGGCGTTTTTCCCCTGACCGCCCCCTATCTCAACTCCTTACCTCTCATCGTCTATCACTTCACGTCAAGTATCACTCAACATCGTCGACTGTATGACTCACATCGGAACGAGAGAAAGTGGTAGGCGGAATGGGGGCGGAATGGGGAAAATAGGTACGCGGAATGGAGGGAAAATGGTTGGCGGAGTGAAGGGAAGAGGGGGGGAAGAATGAAGGGAAGAGAGGGGGAAGAATGAGGAGAAGAGGTGGGGAAGAAGGAAGGGAAGAGGGGGGTAAGAATGAGGAGAAGAGGGGGGGAAGAATGAAGGGAAGAGGGGGGGAAGAATGAAGGGAAGAAGGGGGGAAGAATGAAGGGAAGAGGGGGGGAAGAATGAAGGGAAGAGGGAGGGAAGGATGAAGGGAAGAGAGGGGGAAGAATGAGGAGAAGAGGTGGGGAAGAAGGAAGGGAAGAGGGGGGTAAGAATGAGGAGAAGAGGGGGGGAAGAATGAAGGGAAGAGGGGGGAAGAATGAAGGGAAGAAGGGGGGAAGAATGAAGGGAAGAGGGGGGGAAGAATGAAGGGAAGAGGGAGGGAAGGATGAAGGGAAGAGGGGGGGAAGAATGAAGTGAAGAGGGGGGGAAGAATGAAGGGAAGAGGGGGGAAGAATGAAGGGAAGAGGTGGGGAAGAACGAAGGGAAGAGGGGGGGAAGAATGAGGAGAAGAGGGGGGGAAGAATGAAGGGAAGAGGTGGGGAAGAACGAAGGGAAGAGGGGGGGA